GGAGACGAGCTTTCTTTGCCTTCACTTTCAGTTTATTATGGTCTAAATTTTGGTCTCTGGCTTTGGCTGAAAATAATGAAAAATGTCCTTTCTGACGATAACATCTGGTTTCTACCCATTTGTTTAGTATACCTTTTTTGGTACAAAATAATGTTCAGTCCTGTCTAGAATTACTTTTGGGAAACAGACACTTCTCTAACTTAAGTCAGAGCTAAATATATACTGTAAAACCATTCTTATTTATATGTTAAAGCAAATTCTGGACCTGCTTGCTAGATCTTTTAGTTGAAACGTGAACAAACGAACGGAAGGACTGACTTGCTTGTGTACTTTGAAGCTGACTAATGAATTACTATGTAGTGTGTCCCCAAATTTAGCTCACTACTTAACATGCCAGGACAACTGCTCTTAGTTATTGTTCAGGATTTTTTTCCTCCGGTGCTCTTAGAGTAAAGTTTTAGCTTCAGACAAATCCTCTTGTTGTAAATTGGCCTTGGTTTAAACATGGGAATGGTCTGTACTTAAGCGTTTTTGTTTTAAATGTTAAAAACCGTTTACATGTCTGACTCCCTAATTTATACCAGTTTTTCAATATTGTCTTAATTCATTGCTGCTGGGCCATATATTGCCACGTGGGGATGTAGTGCTGTCTCGGTGTTTTCCTGTCTTTCAATATCACATCTGCTGTGTTAGCAAATAACGTAGCACAGAATCACTTGTACTTAATGCTGCACACTAAATTGGTTTGTTTTCTTATAGAGTCATCCATTGTCTCTAGTTTGGCTTTAAAAATCTACGAAACATGTTAAAATCTATGTTGGGTTTCCTTTCAGAAGAGATGTCTAAAATTGTGTGATATAAATCTAAAACACAGATTTTCAATACTTTTTTTTTTGAATAGTATATCACAGAATTGGCAAATGCCCTGTCTTACTGTCATTCAAAGAGAGTTATTCATAGAGACATTAAGCCAGAGAACCTGCTCCTTGGATCATCTGGAGAGCTTAAGATTGCAGATTTTGGGTGGTCAGTACATGCCCCATCCTCCAGGTATGTAACTTCAGACGTGGAACTTGTTTGTTTGGTTTAGCAAAAGCCCAGGGGCCAATCATGAGCTAAATAGTAAAATATGTGAAGTATAGATGTGTGCTGAGTTGGGGCAGGTAACTGACACACGTACTTTGGTGTGATTTAGGCCTGATAGTAAACTAGTGTCTTCAAGAACATTTTTATTCTGCAGCCATTTTGGGCTGTTTATCCTGTCCTAAGCCTGGGGTTAAAAGATGCATAATGTCCTTAGAGACTAATGAAGGGGACAAATAAGTAAAAGATATGACAAGTGTATGACAGGTGAAGTGCAGCATGTGTACAGGGGCAGTAACACCTGACTGACTGGTGTGAGGGAGACTCCACTGCTTCCCGGACCAGGAGACAGAAGTTTCTGAGGGCATCGCTTGCAAAGATCTAGAACCAAGAGCACAGTTCTTCAGGGAACTTAAAGGAACCAAACTGGTTTGGATGGAGCTTTCAGGGTGGGGGGGCAAAGATTCTTTCGTCCTCTGATTGTCAACAGAACAGTCCTTTCCTGTCTCCTCTTAAAGTGGAGAGATCAACGTAATGAAACAATTTAAGTGAACTTTGCCAACAGAGCTAAAACATTTTCTCCTTTTTAAAATTTAAGTGGAGTTTAAGTGAGCTTTTGGAACCACATGTGAAGTAGGGCATTTAAAAGCATACGTCCACCAATAAGAGTCTGTCAACTTTGGGGTAGGTCTTTAAAAAGTTTTAGCCAGATTACCTTAAAGCCAGTTGAAAAAAAATTGTGTAGTCTAAAATAGATGCCATTGGGTGTGGGGAGCTTTGTTTTTGTTACAGACCACTCCTAATTGTTTCCAGCAAGGCACTGAATCTGCTGCTGCAGTCTCTGTTTAAAAAAAAAAAAAAAAAGTCTCGTGGTCTGCCACGGGTGGGAGCTGTTGGCACCTGGCTTCATGGCATCGCAGGGCTAAACTGTACCTTAACCCTCCCAGTGGTGTCATCGTGACAGGAAAGGTAGCTGATCCTTTTCTGAAGAGGACACTGTGTAAATGTTGGTCACTTCTCCTCGCCTCCCGTACCTTGGTAACTGTAAGAGCTCCTTCGATATTGTGCTGTCATTTGAGCACCCCCTGATTCGGGCCGTCTCCTGAATCTCGGTGGTGATGAGAGGCTAGGTGTCTGGAGAGGTAGCTCCTTAATCCTGGGTCACCATGCAGTCGAGCGAGCATTTGTGCGCTCACTGGGCACCAGGGAAAGAATAACTGATGTAAACCAGCAAAACCTGCATGGTCTTTGCTCCTGTTTTGATGTTTGTTTCCAACCTCTATTATAAAAACAACATACAGACGTGCTGCATTGGTCACCTGTTGATCCAGTGCCTACACTCAAACAGTTGTTAACATTTTGCCATGTTGGGTGTGTCGTCTACGTATAAGTTGGAGACAGTGTGCTTTGTCCTTTGAGTGCTTCAGGGTGCATCTCCTAAAAATAAGGACATTGTCCTGTATAATCACAACCATTATCACGCCTAAGAAAATTAACAGCCTTATTAATATCTATTTAGTCCATGTTCAAATTTCCCTAGTTGTCCACAAAATTTTATAGTGGTGATACTTTAAATCCTATATTTTGTATCATTTAAGGAAGTTCTGGAGTTGGACAGATTTGGAGTGCAGCTTGATTGCTAGCTGTGAGATCTTGTACATCTGCCTGTCTAAAAGTGGGGATTTATAACAGTACCTGCTTCGTAGCACAGGATCTAGCCTAGGAAAAGCGCTCAACGTTAGTGTAATGGTTGGTGATTTTGAGCAGCTGTTGTGCATCAGAAACAGAAGCACGTCAACCTGAACCTGCCTGCGTTTTTAGGAGAACCACCCTCTGCGGTACCCTGGACTACTTGCCGCCTGAGATGATTGAAGGCCGGATGCATGACGAGAAGGTGGATCTCTGGAGCCTTGGGGTACTTTGCTATGAATTTCTAGTTGGGAAGCCTCCTTTTGAGGCAAACACATACCAAGAGACCTACAAAAGAATATCACGGGTAAGACATCACTAGAAAGGACCCATCATTCCTTATCAGCCTTGACTTTAGGCTACGATCTGAATATTTATCCCGTTCTCTCTTAGCCACGTTTGTGACCCTGTCACTTATTGTACACTTACCCAGGTGGAATTCACATTCCCTGACTTTGTGCCAGAGGGAGCCAGGGACCTCATTTCCAGACTGCTGAAGCATAATCCCAGCCAGCGGCCCACCCTCAAAGAAGTACTTGAACACCCCTGGATCACGGCAAATTCAAAACCATCGAGTAGTCAAAAAAAAGAATCAGCTAGCAAACAATCTTAAGAATCTTTGGGGGCAGAAATCCTCGAGACAGGGCTGCTGATAATCTGCCTGGAACAGGCTGCTGGCGTATCTCCCTGCTGCCTGCCCACCGTCGAGATGCTACAGGAAATACTGTTTATGAGCAGGCAGTGCTCGGCCTCCCAGTTCAGAGCTCCACCTCTGCAGACACGCCGCTCTGCAGTGGGAGTAGCTGTGGTTATATAATCAATTTGGAGGCAAGGTTCAAGTGCAGCCACCCCGCAGCCTGTTTTGAGTAAGGTGTCCTTGTGGAAGATGGACTCGCAGCCTGGCTGTGGGGAAGGGCGGCTGTTTGGTCCTGACTCGACCCGTTGAAAATCTGTGCAATAACTTTCCAAGTCCCTGTGTGCGTGTAACTTATCGGGTGGCCCAGTCTGGTAAAGCTGTCGGAATGAACATGTGATTCTTTCTTTTAAATGTTAAAATAAAGACTTTTGTATAGACTTGTATTTTTACCTCCATGGCATTCCTTTAGGACCGCTCTCAGTGTCTGTCCAGTACCCCTGCCGAGCCTGCTTGTTGGTCCTCAGCCACTTACCTCCTGGTGAGACTGAGCGGGGGCCTCTGGGGGACCACCAGAGCTGCAGGTGGTCAGGACAGAGCGGGGGAGTCCTGCACATACACACCTGCCCATCCCTGGTCTCTGACTGTGTTCTCAACAGGATGGCAAAGAGCTTCACACGTGGGGTGAACCAGTTCTTGCCAAATGGATTTTCCAAGTGTGGCTTTTGTCCTGATTCTCTGGTGAAGGAGTGTTTGCCTAAACGGAATCCCTCCTCCGCAGCCGTACTTGGATCTGGGCGCTGTCAGTGTTCATCGTGGCTTATAAAGTGGACGCCTGCTGCCCCTTCAGTACAGCTGGCAGAGGCTTCCCTTCTTCCCCTTGTCACCTGGTTCCCACGGGACACACTGGAGTTGTGGCATCTGTGTGAACTTGAAACCTGACTCCACAAATACACCTGTCTGCAGTACATGGGTAATTCTTTTCACCACCTGTTCACTCTTGGCCTAGAAATGAGGAGGTGCCATGAGAGGAGCTGGCCTCACGTTCTATGTGTTCCTATCACGTAAAATGACGTATTTCTAGCTGCCAACACCTGTGCATCAACCAAAGATGATGAACTTGACCATAATGAAGGCAAAGGTGGAAGTGTTGAACTTACTGGGAACTAGGAGAGGAAACATGCTTTCATGGCCAACTTTCAGTGCAAGAGGCCTACAGAGATCAGAAATGTCTACACAGAAGGACGTGGCTGTACGCTTCCATGTCAGAGTTGCCGAAGTAGTTGTGGAAACTTAAGAACTGAGTAAAACTGCCGTGTCCAGTTAGCCCTGTTGGGACAAAGGAGCTTTTGGTTCCCACAGGCTTGAGCTTTTACATCCCGGAGTAGTAGTTCATCCATCCACCCCGGATGTAGTCAACGCAACGTGACTAACCCCACCAGTGACACTAGCTAAGCTGTCATTTCCCCAAACAGTCGCACAGAAGCACAGAAAAGAGCTCACTGTAGCAGCACAGCATTAATAAACCGGTCACACGCACTGCCGCGTCATAATCAGCAGCAGTGATGGCTTCTTAAGAATAAAACGTTCTTCATAAACTTTACAAAGTGTTTATTTGTTTCACGGAATTTAAGCTGCTCATTTTGTCAGATAAAAAATTAGAGGTGAACAGTGGCTTACGTGTTTAAAATAGATCATCAGTTTTATTCCCCTAGTTCCATAAAAACAATGTAAATACAAGTGATCTGTACATCCTGCTGGTGAATTCACATAATGCTGTAACTCCCTGGTCCTTTGATTGCCTCTCCTCTCTAGTTACTCTGTTCTGCTCTGACAACTGGCCACTGGAGTGGAGTGGAGTTGGGGCTTACAAGAGAATGCTATGGCTACTTGGTATGATAATTTGTTTTATTGCTTGCCCTTTCAGTCCACTCCCATTCAAGCCCTTAAACCTGTAGGAATCCCTAATGGCTTTTTTGCATAGGCATTACTCACGAGTTGAATGGTTGGGAGGCCGGTGAGGAAGGTGGTTAGGAGCCCAGAGCCAACTGTTCACACACAGACAGCAACACAGAAGTGCTGGTCCTGTCCTCATGAGGAATTACCTAGCACTGGTGCCATCTCTCTCTGATGTGGATGTGTCCTGGGAATTAGACCCCAGAAAGGCAGTCTAATTCCAACTTTAAATTGCTAAAACCTTTTGGCAGTGGGCTAACTGCTTTAAAAGGGCGGGTGGGGGGTGGAATAATGGATCCACTTTAAAGATCTTGCAAGTGGAGAATCTGGCTCACAAAGATTCTCATAAAAGTTAACTGAAACAACTGATTGACGTGGGTTACTACGGGCTAACGAGGAAAAACTGTCAATAGTCAGATCTCAGTAAAACCAGGATGATCAGTTTATAGTTCCTTGAGTTTTCTGATTGTCACAAATGTAGTTAATCAAACCAAAAAACTAAAGTAAAAAATAAATCTGGGAGCCAGAAAGATAAATGCAACCCCTGAACCATGGTGGCAGGGCAGTTACACTGGGGTTCCTGCAGTGTGCAGCCAGTGTCCCGTCAGTGATGCTGAAGCCCACGGGAATATAGTCCTTCTCCGTTGCTTGCTCCTGACTGTCTCAAGGAGAAAGTCTCAACTGAGATCTGTGTGCTTGCATTTCTGTTCTTAACCAATGTCCCAAACAGAGAACGAGGGGCCTAAAGTCACACGCCCTTTATCTGGTAAACTAGCTCGGTCCCTGCCCGGCCTGTATTATTATTTTGCGGTTGTCTCCCATTTACAGCAACTGCTAGTAATTTTACTTTTTTAGAGAGTGATACAAAATCTTTTTTTGCATACATAATTTTAACTCAATTAAAAAATATAAGTAGCAACACAATGTAAACACTGTGACACTAGTTCTGGAATGTCTGAAGTCTGAGACAGAGCTTGTCAGGCCAAGATTGTCTCAGCTTTGCGTATATGTACAGTATCCAGATTCCTGAGGACACAGGCGTCCGGGGCCAACTGATGCCATTACTACTGGATGAAGTTTCCGTATTTTACCGAAACAGAGACAAATGATTCTAACCTACTTTGATGAAGTTTGGGAAAAATCAGCTGAGGCAGGCCCCATCATGTCCAGATTTGAAGGTGTCTTGGGATCAGTGAAACGTACCAGAAATACTTGTTTTTCTTTCCCCCCAAACAAGTGTAATGAACGTCAAAGTGTTGATGCTAATTAAGATCCTGATTCCATATTGTGAAGTCTTAAATTCTGCTTCATTAATTGTAGCACTGGCAGCTGTTCTGCACATTACTGCATATTAAAATGAAGGCCGCCTGACAGCAAATATTGGAGGAAGGGGAACTTTAAAAACCAGCTTAGTGAATCGCTGCCCTTTAAGAACTTGAGCAAAGATTAACCCCTGAGGCTTCTTTCTGCACGCAGACCCTCACCAGTGATCCTCCGGAAGGAACATTTCCTGGCTGACAGTTTTGTTTCAGATGATAACTCAATGGTGATGCTTTGCTGACACTGTAGATGGTGCAGACAAGCCCTATGATGAATAGCATTACCAAAACTCATAAAGCAAAAAAATCACAGTGATTTGAAACCCTGAATTTTTGCTGGCAAAAGTAAATGCTATTCACGAGAAGACAGCAGCTAGCCCCTTCCTCACCCCCACCATAAACCCTACATCATAAAACCAGTCCAAAATGTATCATTTCAAAGAAATAGGTTTTCAGGCCCACAGCTGAAGAGTTCATCAAGGCTTTGCAGCTGGAGGTTTAAAAATTCCCACTTTCCGAAAATACCTGACAATCAGGGGCACGGAAACTAAGGTAATGCTTATCCTCACGGGTGCAAACAGCTTGTGGATGGCATAGGCCACCACGAAAGTACTTGTGCCTGCTGCCATTTTCGACTGTACCAGTGACTCTTTAAACCCGAGTTTAAGCAGGATGGCTGACATGTCCACACCACTGGAGGGGAGAGAGGCAAACAGACAAACACAAAAGGGATAGAGTTAACCGATCAATTTGGCTATGACATTTACAGTATTTTAAAAAATGTGATGAAAGTAGCTAGATGAATATAAAGTCTTAGGAAAAAAGTTCTTATTCCCAAAGACACTTGGATGACAGCGAAAAACAAATATCTACTACTGTCAGAATCTTACCTTGAAACAACCATGTAAAACATGCCCAAAGAGATTAATGAGATTCCAATGTGCAGTGACACGCCAACGGCACCATATTCTTGAAAGATCTTTTTCAGCTGCTGCGACTTGCTTTGCTTTTTCTCCTCTGTACTGCTGACGTTGCCGCCTGTTGTCACAGTGATTTTGCTGGTATCCTGCGCACAAGCCAAAGAAGGGGAGACGCTTTAGGGCAGGAGCAAGGATGTTAGTGGTCATCAACAGCCTCAGATTCAGGCAGCGTGCTGCTCTTTCCCGTCCAGTGAGAGGTAAGTTACTATCTTTCTTTGTCAGCTGAGGCTAATGCCCGCTAAGCCACTGAGTGCAGTGAAGGGCTGGGTACCAGGTACGATGGGCGGTACGATGGGCAGAACGATGGCCCCTAAGATGTCTAGGTCCTAGTCCCCAGAACCTGTGAATATGTTACCTTACGTGGCAGAAGGATTTTGCAGGTGGGATTAAGTTAAGGATCTGCGATGGGCAAATCATCCAGGATTTTCTGAGTGGGACCAGTGGGACCTTAATCATAAGGGTCCTGTGAGTGGACACAGGGGGGCAGGAGGGTCAGAGAAGCAGACGTGAGGACGGAAGCAGAGTCAGATTTGCAGAGATTTGTGCTGCTGGCTCTGAAGACAGAGGAAAAGGCCACGAGCCAAGGAGTGCAGCACCTCCAGAAGCTGGACAAGGCAGGAAATGGATTCTCCCGTAGAGCCACTGGAAGGAACCAGCCCTGCCCACACACTGACTTTAGCCCTGTGAGACCCCGTTTGGGCTTCTGACCTCCAGGGCTGTCAAAGAATAAATGTGTGTCGTTTCATGCCTCCAGGTTTGTGGTGACGTGACAACCATGCTAGACTCTACAAGACAGTGGGTACGAAATAAAACAGAGCAGAAGCCGTGACGTATCTACTTCTGGAATCAAGATTTACCCCTGAGATCTGAACGGAGAAAGGGAGGGCTAGTTCTCGGGCCATAAATGCAGCGGCCGGGTTAGTACAGAACATATTCATTGCGTGGGGTGTTTGTTAACAATTACTGAGCATCTACAGGGCCTGGAATGTTTGGGAGAAATAAAAACAACAACCTTGGATTAAAAAGACAAAACTCCTCAATATGGAGAGTGCCTTTTTCATCAAAGGATTTCTTCAGCTCTAACGACAGACCTCAGAGCTCTTCTCACGGGCAGCATCTGGGTCAGTCAGCTCCGGCTACTGACTTTGCAGCGGGACGGCTGCTTTCTTGTATTTTTAGAACATGCTGCAGTGGAGCCATGCTTCAAAGGCTGCGGTGGGGGGGTGGGGAGGTGGGGACACATGACATGCAGCGTGGCATCCCCAGGGACAAAAGTGAAATGACACAGGTGCCCAGGGCAGCAGCCTCCAACCGCAACGAGGCACAGGTCCTCCTCCCGGCCCTGCCCTGCTTCAGAGCCCTGCTGGCGGGCAGGTGGGAGCTCTGACCAAGCACGTCTGGGGCCTCCCTGCAGACGCTGCCTTTCTCAAGAGCTCCCAGGGGACCCGGATGCTGCTGATCCATCTGTCTGTGCCCAGGTGCCCAGCCTCTGATTTCATAGATGTGGGGTGAGGCCTGGGCACTGCGATTAGGTATCAGTTCCCCTGGTGCTTCTAAGTGATCAGCCAGCGTTGCCAGGTAAATTACCTGCTCAGCACTCTCGCCTCCCCTTGCCCTGCTCCTGCCCACCCTCAGCAGACTCTCCACGTGGCAGTCGCTTCTCAGATGTACCTGCCTTGCAACAGACTGGAGTGAGCCACTTCCTAAGCTGGAAACACAAACGTCACCTCCTCCAAGAGGCCCTCCTTGACCACCTCAGCTGCCTGCCCTCAGTGGCAGCCATGCTATCACATCTGTACTTCCCTCTCTGAGATTTCCATCTTCAGGAGTTGTCCTGCTTATAATGTAACAAATATAACAAATACATGTATGTAAGCATTCCGTTCTTCGCTTGTTTGCTGTTGGCCAGAGGCCCGGAATGTGTGGTTCCAGGGAGCAGGGACCTGGTCGTCTTGCCCGGCTCCTAGCACTGGGAGGGTGAAGGGACCATCTCTGCCCGGTGTATTAGGGGTCGAGCTGGATTGCATGCACAGGTACTAGGATGTGATCAAGAGTTTTTACCTTTTTGGCCACGCCACACAGCTGTGCCTTGGGATCTTAGTTCCCCATCCAGGGATTAAACCCGCGCCCTCGGCACTGAAATTGCGGAGTCCTAACCACTGGACTGCCAGGGAACTCCCTGATAAAGAGTTTTAAGTGCAGCAGGTCCCCTTCCTCCTCAGATACTTCTGGAGGCTTGCCCACCCAAGCCTCGTCCCCCCATCGCACGCCAGGCCCGCACTGTGTCCTCCATCCCTCGTGCTCATTCATGCTGTCCCCTAAGCCAGCAGCCCTGGTGGCCCACCCCCGCCCTTCCCTCCTCAGGACGTGACGGTGTCTGCCCATCAGAATCCACTGCCCCGCCCTCCACCGGGCCCACTGCAGTTGGCCTCCTGGGCTGTTTTCTTTCTTTGACGGCACTCGGACCAGACCTCCCGAGCTACTCTTGCCCGGGCTGTAGGCAGGGACATGAGAGACCAGGGGTCACCCAGGGGCCCGGGGCCTGACCTCGCAGGTCTCCCATGAGGGGCTGACCCTACAGAGTAGCAGACAGGGCTACTGACCGGAGGGGCGCTGAGCGGTGCCAGCCTAGGTGGGTTTAGGGAACGCTGCTTCAGGACCACCTGGCCCAGGCCCCTCATCTCTCCCCTGGGTTACTGTGATGGCCTCCCTCCCAGCTGGTCCCCCAATCCCACCCTTGACCACTCAACACAGTGGCCAGAGGGAGCCTGTAAAAACCGAGGTGGGATTACAGCACCACCCCCGTCAGAGGCCTCCTGGAAGCACCAGCCCCTCAGCCCTCCAGGCCCGCCGCCCCCTACCCCCATTCTCCTTCCTGCTACCCATTTGGGCCACGTGGCCTTCTTGCTGCTTTAAGCAGGCCAGGCCAGGACCGCTCCTGGCCTTGGCATCTGCTGCTCCCTCTGCCTGAATGCTTTTCCTCAGACGTCCTCATAGCCCCGCCTCCAGGTCTTTATTCCGACATCACCTCAGGGAGGCCCTCCTGGAGCACCCTCTTTAAAACCGAGACCCTCACACAGCTGCTCCTGTGCAGTTCCCTCCATCGGGCCGTCACCACCTAACGCCCCACGTGCGTTTCTTCCTTCTCCCCAGGGAGGCCCATCCACTTTGGTAACAGTTTTGCTGGTATATAGATTACAGGCCATTTAAAACGTACAGTCAAATGGTTTATGTGTGTTTGCAGTTGTGCAACCATCACAAGGATCTAATTTTGGAACATTTTTGTCACCCAATTAGCAGTCACTCCCCACTCCTCTCTGCCCCATCCTGATGGGGAAAGGCAAACATGAAACTCCTTTCTGTCTATGGATTTGCCCTTTCTGGACGTTTCATGTAAACGGGGCCATACAGCATGGGGCCTTTTGTGACTGGCTTCTGCTACAGACTGAATGTTTGTGGAAACCCTACCCCGCCCCAGATTCCTATGTTGAAACCGAATCCCCACCAGGATGGTATTTGGAGGTGGGAGGTGACTAGGTCATGAGGGTGGAGCCCTCACGAATGGGATCAGGGCCCTTGTAAAAGAGACCCCAGAGCGCTCCCTTGAACCTTCTACCATGTGAGGACATGGCAAGAAGACAGAAGACAGCTGGCTATGAACTCGGAAGCAGGCCCTCACCAGACACTGAATCTGCGCGTGTCTTGACCTTGGACTTCTTGACTCCAGGACTGTGAGAAATGAATGTCTGCTGTTTAAGCTGCCCAGTCTATGGTGTTATAGCAGCCCGAACAGACTACGGCAGCTTTTTTCACTTATCATCGTGTTTTCAAGGTTCATCCACGTTGTAGCAGGTATCAAACTTCATTCCTTTTTATGAAGCAGAATTTGATTCAACTGAAATACAAAGTACAGATTCTAAAATTTACTCTTCAGGGCAAGCTGGGAGCCACAGTACATTTTGCCCTACAAAGAATGTCTGCAGTGTCTGGAGCCCTGTTGTGTCTGGTAACCCCTGGGGCAGCCTCTCAGCTTGGTTTCATGCTGGACAGGAGGGCTTGGCTCTGGACCAGCTGCCAGAATGGAAGATAAACCGTGGCTGCTGCACGTACGTAGAAGATAAGAAGGCACAAAAGCAGACTCTCCTACTGTCCCCAAAAGAACTAAGTAAGGCTCAGTGAAGGGCCACATTCCATGCACGGCGAGGAGGGGGTGGAATTCAGTCTTGGATTAAAACTTGCCCAGAATTGGGAATTCCCTGGTGGTCTAGTAGTTAGGACCCTGCGCTTTCACTGCCGAGGGCACGAGTTCAATCCCTGGTCAGGGAACTAAGATCTCACAAGCCGCGCAGCGTAGCCAAAAAAAAAAAAAAAAAACCTTTCCCAAAAAAAGTGGGCACAAAACTCAGATTTATTAGTTAAAAGAGTCTTTTCATTACCTCCAAACTAAAAAAGCATCTCTTTTGTTCCCAAACTCCAGTTGGGACTAAAAAAAAAAAAAAAAACCAAACAAACAAAACCCCAAAACACCTGGAAGCTTTAAATTAAAGCTTCAATTAAAATTAAATCTGTTTCATTAAAGGCTGCTCAGTCCCTGGGAATTAAGTGTTAAGGTCCTAAGGCGGGAGACGAACTGTATTTCCTCTCTGCCTTTAGCTTTGACTTCTGCGGGCTTTTTTCAGACTTAAGAAAACAAACACTTAAAAAATGGGGAGTGCCTACTAAAATCCAGTATCCATTTATGGGGTCCCAGAGGCTGGTTTTGATAGGCAGGAAAGCATAACGTTTTTTGAAAGGTTTTAGGAAAACCACCAGTGTCCTCAAGAGAGGCTCCTTCTATTGAGCCAGGTACCGGGCTTAGCACTTTAAAGGCGCCATCCCATAAAAACCCTCACAACCCCACGACGTGGGCACCTCTGTCGCTCCCACTTTGACAGATGGGAGACCAAGGTTTGGGGCAAAGCTATGAGCTGGCTGGCGGCGCCCAGACTGAGTTCTGTGCTGCAGGCTCCCCTTCATGTCCCCCAAGAGCTGAACATTCCTCAAGGAAGAGCCTGTTCCAGAACGTCAAGGCTCTGGAGGGGAGAAGGAAAACTGTCACCAGTACCCTTCGGTTGGGCCAGCACCGCGCCCTCCCTGTTCTCTGACACCCAGCAGCCAGAATGGCCGCTGGGAGCTCAGGCTCCTTCTGATAAACAGCTCCCCACCCGCCTTTTGGCTGCGGATGAAGTGCCCCGGATGGGAGATCTGCCAGGCCCTGATAGGAGGAGCAGTGGACAAACCCCGGTTCCAAGAGCCAAACAACGTCCTGAGGCTGATGACGGGTGAAAGCCCCTTTCACTTCCCACCCTGGACATCTGGCCCAACCAGACTTCATTATGTCCCCTCTGTCTACTTGCCAGGACCGGGTGGAACTGTCTCTCTCTCTCGAGAGCCCTTTTCTGTACGACCTCTATTTTGGCAAAAGGCCTTTTGGCCAGAAAAGAAAAAAAGGCAGCCAGGGCTTCCCTGGTGGCACAGTGGTTGAGAATCTGCCTGTCAATGCAGGGGACACGGGTTCGAGCCCTGGTCTGGGAAGATCCCGCATGCCGCGGAGCACCTGGGCCCGTGAGCCACAACTACTGAGCCTGTGCGTCTCGAGCCTGTGCTCCGCAACAAGAGAGAGAGGCTGCGATAGTGAGAGGCCCGCACACCGTGATGAAGAGTGGCCCCCGCTCGCCGCAACTAGAGAAAGCCCTCGCACAGAAACGAAGACCCAACACAGCCAAAAATAAATTAATAAATAAATATTTTTAAAAAGTTATTCCTAAAAAAAAAAAAAAAGGCAGCCAGACTTCCAGCTACAGAATGACCAGTATCTACTGCAAGACAATGGGAGGGACAAAATATTCAGACACAACAGACAATTTCCTGTTAGCCAGTGCTGCAGTTAGTTTTTAACTTTCTAGAGTTAGAAGCTTATATGGACAATTTTCTTCCTTTTATCCTGGAAATCTCTTTAATCATTGTGGGTCATGCATTTTTCTTCCTAACCCTGGAGGAGAATAAAGAGACTGAAATAAAGGAATTTATGAGGCGATGACCTGCAAGGAATGGAAACTTTTCAGACATTCATTTCTTCGTGAAATATCACCTTAAGAACCTGTGATGTATCCTTAGTCGCTGCCCTGGATGCAGACAACATCTACCTCCCCCGTGTCTGTTCTTAGATAAGTGCTTTCATATACCTGCAGATGGCTCTCTGAGCCCCAGTGTCCTACCTCCCAGTTCTCCCTCACACGCTGCCTTTTCAGGGAGCCCTTCCCTGATGACCTTATTTATTAAACTGGCAGCATCCCTCCCTGCAGCCCTGCCCATCTGCACCCTCCCTCCCCCCTTGGCATTTCTCAGTAGCACCTCTCACATCAACAAGCCTGATATTTTCCTTTTCTGTTTATTGTCCCTCCCATCCCACTAGACGTCAGGCTCCCTGAGGGTGGGTTATGTCTGTTTTGTTCATTGCTCTATCCCCCCACCCCCCGCCTTAGAGCAGTGCCTAGCACAGTGCAGACACTCACGAATAAGTGAGGAACACAGCACAGCTGTTGAGGGCAGAAGCCTTGGAACGAGACTGGTTTGGATCCCAGTTCTGAGAGGTAACCTCTGTGTGATTCTCAGAAAGTTACTCAACCTCTCTGGGCTTAAGCGGGGGGGATGACAGTATTGCTTACGTCACAGGGTTGTTGTGAGGATTACATGAATTAATATTTTCAAAGTACTCAGAACAGTGCCTGGTACAAAGTAAACACAATATAGTGTTTATTGTTAATATTACTTATTGCATGAATGAAAACAGGTGTCACTCTAAACAATCTGAACTTGTGAGCAATTTTTGGCTCATTCCTCAAACCTTCCTGACCCTTCTAATACAGCCTTCTTACTTTAATAAATATGGGGTGGGGGAGCAGTACACACACACACACACACACACACCTGCTAGTGCCAGGCTCACAAGACAGACCAGCAAGTCAGGAGGACATTCCATATGATAAGTGCATAGAAGATGCACACCCATGGGGCTGAGGAGGGGGCCAGTGGAGGCACCCAAGGTATCACTGGTGGTCAGGGAAGGCTTCTGGGAGGAAGGGACAGCTGGGCTGATCCACAGAGAATCACCAGGAGACAGCTGGGTGTGCGCGGAGGGTGCCAGACGCATGAGGATCCCCTAACTGGGCTCAGGAGGCAGAGACAAGATCTACCACCTGTCCGATGGGGGAGCAGAAGGCAGGGAAGGAAGTTTCTCCGCCTGTGGCAGAGGCATGGTAAGGTCATGCCTATGCAACATTCAGGAAGCACTGGCTCCCGGTGGCACCATGTTGAGGCCCACATCAGCTCATGGAACTGTTCCCCAAACTATTGTTGGGAAGGTGCTATTTTAAATGCCTGCAAGGTCAGCAAACAGGCTCAGAGGCCTTCAGCACTTGGGGTAGGGCTGCACCGCTGGTGAGTGGATGCAGGCAGGCAAAGGGACCAAAGGTGCAAAGCTCCAGGCACTGCTTGTCCCAACTTGTTAGCTCTGGATCTCCAGACTTCACTGCTTACCACCTTTTCTCTTTAAGAAGACCCACTTCAAAACTTTCAAAAAGGGATTGTCTGCATTACCATTCTGAATGGAAACCAGTTTTCAGTTAGCATACACAGAAGCAGCCGAAGTGAAATATTGATGCAATGAAGTAACACTGGGTTTCTTGCGCGCATCCTGCCTGCAGTCTGACAGGGAGGCCTGCCCTCTAGGTTAGATAAAAAGGGAGTGGCAGCAAGTGTTGGGGGGGTGTTAGAGACCGCAGCACCCACCAAGCCTTTCTCCTCGGCCCAGGGAGGAAGCCCCGGCGCGACTTCAAAGGGAACAACTCTACCGCCCAGTGAGAACGTCGATACCAAGCCCAGGCCCCAGCTCCAATCCTCCCGTCCACCACCACAGTACAGCCTGACGCTTTGGGATCCTGGGATCACCTGGAGGTTGTGACCTTGGGCAGTCACCACACCTCCCTGAGCCTCAGTTTCCCCTGCTGTGAACTGGGAACTCGCTTCTTTTACTTGTAGAGATCTGAGGCCTGGGAACCCTGGCGGTGCTCGGTCTCAGGCAGCTGCGCGAGTCAGGCTCTCCTTCGGCGGAGATGGGCCGACGATCGGGGCGCGCGGGGTTCGGGGTGGGGGCGGGGAGGCTTACCTGGCGGCCGTGGCAGTTCCCGCGGGCCGCGCGCAGCAGCGGGGCGTCCAGCTCGGTCCCGAAGAGCGGCAGAAACAAGGGCGGTGGGGCGCGGGGGGCGGCAGCGCCCAGGAGCCAGGTGGCGCGAGACCGGACCCGGGCGCCCACCCTGCCCGTGGGGCACAGCAGCGCCAGCAGCCCGGCCATGGTACTCAGCCCTGCGCCGCTGCCCGCACAGCGGACAGCAGAGGGAGCAGCGCGGTGGGCGGGGCCCGCGGGAGCCCGAGCCCAGAGCGGCGGGGTGGGGCCGGGGCCGGGGCCGCGCGCCGTCCTTGGCCCCGCCCACCGGCCCCCGCCCCTCCGCCGCCTGAGCGGCGAGGGCGGGGCTGCAGCCCCGCGCGGCCGGGGCGGGGCCGGAGCTGAAGCCCCGCGAGAAATGGGCGGGGCTGGAGACGCGCACCCCCTCCGACAGCCTGCGAGTTCTAGCCGGCGGATCCTGACTCATCATGCTGGTTACAAGCCAGTCAGAGGCCAGCCCAGCCCTGATTCAGGAGTGAGGGGGTCAGATTCCTCCGACTTGACGGGAAGTGACAAGGTCACGTGTGGAAGGGCTTGTGGAATGGGAAATGTTGTCGTGACCATGTTTGGGAAATGCAATCTACCACGGTAGTCAACTGTTAACTGTAATAAAGATAATAATCTTTGGTCTCCATTCTGCAGAAGAAGAAACTGAGGCTCACAGAAATGAAACCTTCCCTGAGGCCTCTTATCCTCATCCTTTTGTCATGCCTGACCCCCCGGTAGCATTTTTTGGTTCAAACTAGAGGATCCAGAATGCTTCTAGATCTTTGCTATTTTAAGCAGAAAAAACAATTTTTTTTTTTTTACCACAGGGAACCGTTGCTTGGAAAACCATTGGAAAAGCTGGAGGAGTGGACATTAGGCTGACCCCCCAGGAAAGGCTCTCTGGACAGAGCAACACGGGCCGGCAAGAGGGGGGACACAAGCCACAAGCCGTTAGGTGGGTGTCAGGGGTCGGCCAGTGGAATGAATGAATTCTAGAGCACACTGCCAGAGCCGTGACCCCAGGATCAGGAAACTGCCACTGCAGCTGCTTTCCAGCTTCTACAGAACAGATCACTGGACGCCGGAAAGCAGGGTCAGGCGGCTGCCTCGGCCACAACTAACGGCCCACACCCGTGGGCTGGCGACTGCACACCTGAATTCTGCTGCAGGAAACCCCACGTCTCCACACACTTGTTTACCAGCAGCAAGCAGCCCAAACCGCAGGAGGATGCCTCCGCCTCCTTTCTGCCTTCGAAATATTCTGCCAGTGCATTCAATTGGCAGAAATGAGTTCGTATCCAGAAACCTAGGTGCAAAGGGAAATTATAGCCGTTCTGCCAGCTGTTCAGCCGTTCTACACTGGAAAGAGATGGGGATCGATGTGCCCACATTCAATACCTCAGGACCCTACCCCCACCTTGAGAAGCCCCTTCTGTCTCACTGGCTACAGCTGAGTCACAGGACACTCTTAGCTGCAAGGGAGTCTGGAATTTGAGGATCCAGCAAAAGAAATAGGCCTGGCTTAGGTCAGAGTAGGCACATCGTCTTCCTGAACACAATCGGGGTTCTGCTGGCAGGGAGGTAGAGGGGGTGGCTGCCGGGGGACGGGGGTGGTAACTCCAGGCAGTGCGACAGGGCTGTGTGCCTGTGCACGGTGGTGAGTGTCACACAGGAAGTGCACGTGTACCATGGGAAAGGGCACACATCAGTGTGTGTGTGTGTGTGTGTGTGTGTGTGTGTGTGAGGGCGCTGAAACCTAAAGGGGGCCGGGGTGCTGGAGGAAGGAAAAGGAGGAACTACTTCTTCCCAGTTTCCAAGGGAACCATGGTTAACCTGCTCAGGGGTCCAGGGCCTCGGGGTTACTCACTGTGGCTCCTTTCTATAAGAATGTGGGAAGGTAGATTCTGGAGCACAAGCAGATAAACTGTGATAAAATAGAAAGTGAACAGTGTTTGGGACACATTGCCACGTTTTCTCCCATTACGTATTCTCTGGTTGTACCTGAGTCTTCCTGAGGACGAGAACAGTTCTCTTCCAGTTCTCTTTCTCTGTCAGATTCTGCACTGTCTGCTCTAAACTGTTTCTGCTCACCTGGAGTCCTCCTTCCTGCCCTGATGACTTCTCTCCTGGCACATACCCTGGCCTCTTACTTCTCAGGGGAAGCCTGAGTCTTAACTGATGGCTCCAGCCCACGTCCCTGTTTCCCTCCACCATTCCCCACCTCCTGCTTCTGTCCCTTTTCCCAAAGCAAATCCAACTACCCGTGCCCATACGTCACTTCTTGCCTCCTCTCTGTTCATTTCCAATCAGCATTCATTATTCTGAACACCTGCTGTGTGCCAGCAGTGGGCGATGCAGTAAAAGTAAGGCTTTGTGGTTTCATGATTTGTTGGTTAACATCACAGCTTTGGTGTGGTGCAGGCCCTGTTTAGAATCTTTGTTAAGTGACTCCAACGATCTAAGTCCCTTGTTTCCTCACTTGCAAGAAGTGAGAGTAATAATACCCATCTCAAAGGGTTACTGTGAAAGTTAAAGGAGATAATATATTTCAGTGCCTGTAGAACCGGGCATGGCACAGTGAGGACTCAAGACGTGGCAGTGTGGCTGGCGTTTCTGTCTATTTTGTCTGCCCAGCTCCCTCTTTTTTTTTTTTTTTTTTCCCTTGGATATGTTTTTTTTGTTTTGTTTTGTTTTTTTTTTTTTTTTAAACATCTTTATTGGGGTATAATTGGTTTACAATGGTGTGTTAGTTTCTGCTTTATAACAAAGTGAATCAGTTATACATATACATATGTTCCCATATGTCTTCCCTCTTGCGTCTCCCTCCCTCCCACTCTCCCTATCCCACCCCTCCAGGCTGTCACAAAGCACCGAGCTAATATCCCTGTGCCTTGCGGCTGCTTCCCCCTAGCTATCTACCTTACTACGTTTGTTAGTGTGTATATGTCCATGACTCTCTCTCGCCCTGTCAAAGCTCACCCTTCCCCCTCCCCATATCCTCAAGTCCGTTCTCCAGTAGGTCTGCGTCTTTATTCCTGTCTTACCCCTAGGTTCTTCATGACATTTTTTTTCCCCTTAAATTCCATATATATGTGTTAGCATACGGTATTTGTCTTTTTCTTTCTGACTTACTTCACTCTGTATGACAGACTCTAGGTCTATCCATCTCATTACAAATAGCTCAATTTCATTTCTTTTTAAGGCTGAGTAATATTCCATTGTATATATGTGCCACATCTTCTTTATCCATTCATCCGATGATGGGCGCTTAGGTTGTTTCCATCTCCGGGCTATTGTAAATAGACAGCTCCCTCTTTCTATTGGAGATGCCCCTCCCTCCCTATTGTAGTTTGTATGAAGCTGTCCAATCTCAATGGTTGGTGGCTCTCTGGTCAGGGTATGGGTGTGAGATCCAGATCTTGCCAAAGTACCCCACACCCCTAGTATTGGTAGAAATGGGGTGATGTTGTATATATGCATCATAATGTGACTTTTTCACTTCATCTGTCACTAATGTCTTTCCTGTTGAAACCATAATTGTGCAATATTATTATTTAAAAGCTGCAGAGCATTCTATAGTATAGGTGCTCCATGATTTATTTAATCCAGTGTCCTGGTAATGGGTGTTATGGACTGAATGTTTGTGTGTCCCCCCAAATTCACATGTTAAAGCACTAATTCTCAGTATGATAGTGTTTGGAGATGGGCCCGTTGGGAGGTGAATACGGTTAGATTAGGTCATAAGGGTGGGTTCCTCATGATGGGATTAGTGCCCTTATCGGAAGTGGAAGAGACACCAGAACTCTTTCTCTCTGCCACGTGAGGACACAGCAAGAAGCAATCAGCAAGCCAGGAAGAGGATGCTCACAAGAACCGGACCTCGTTGGCACCCTGATCTTGGACTTCCAGCCTCCAGAACTGTGAGAAAATAAATTTCTGTTGTTTAAGCCACCCGGTTTGTGGTATTTTGTTATGGGAGCCCGAGCTGACTAATATAGGTTATAATAAATATATACGTGATTTCCAGTTTTTTCTCTATTATAACTTGAACTATCGTTAGTGACATCTTGTAGCAGTAGATCCTGTTAGTAACCCTCTCCTTGAAAGAGTCTCACCATTCACTTATCAACACGCACTTACTGGGTGCCAACCACATGTGCACATTTTCTTCCATCGTGTGGCACCTACTGATTCTTCTCCCTCTGTGAGGCAGGGTCTTCGGAGGCAAACGGGTCAGGGTGGAGTTTGGGAGCTCGTGACACTAGCCTTGCGGCCCCAAGGAAAGTATGTAACCTGCTTTAACCTCAGCTTTCTTTTCCTGTGATATGGGAATAACGACACATGTGTCTGTGACTTCCTGAAAAAATGAAGAGCAATCCCATGTGCGTACGACGGGCATGGTATCAGTCCCCACAAAGGCTTCACTCCCCACCCTCCTTCCCTCCATCACGACATAGATGGCCTGTGGGGCACAACGAAGGGAGGAGGAGGGCTGAGGAGAAAACGGGCTTCCACGCCCCACAGGCCACGTCTGAACTGGGAACCATGGAGGCATGCGCTGTAGGTCTCTGTAGGAAGAGGTGCATTCGCTCTCAGTTGTTCAGTCACTTTTAATTGAGCATCCGCGTCGTGCTCGGGGCTCTGCTAGGCACCAAGGGGGGCGTGGAGAATGTCACCGGTGGTAGCTGCCACCACCCACTTCCGAGCGACCTCTTTCTCCTCGTGGCCCACCCTGTGGGAGCTCTGTCCTTGTCTGAACTTGGGCTGACATTGGATCATCATCTCTGCTTTTCTTCCTCATTTGGGGAAAAATCGTCAGTAAGGACATGGGCCGTGGAGGTGGAGAGACCTGGATATGATTCCACCTCAGCCACTGACTGACTGTGGCACCTTGGCAAGTCACGACACCTCTCTGTGTTTCTCAGGCTTCACCTCGGGATGTGGACAGTGAATGAACCTCCGTTAGTTTGGTGTGAGGCTTAAGTGGGATGACACCTTTTTTTTTTTTTTTTTTTTGCGGTACGCGGGCCTCTCACTGTTGTGGCCTCTCCCGTTGAGGAGCACAGGCTCTGGACGCGCAGGCTCAGCGGCCATGGCTCACGGGCCCAGCTGCTCCGCGGCATGTGGAATCCTCCTGGACCGGGGCACGAACCTGCGTCCCCTGCATCGGCAGGCGGACTCCCAACCACTG